GGCCAAATTCTTTTATTTCCTAACTCATACTTAAGAAAACAACAACAAAGTGGCTACCTGCCCAATACCCTAGAAACCACAGATGTGCTGGGTCCACTAAGGACAGAAGAGATAGATTGTAGTTTAAAAGTTTGAAAGTGCTAGTGAAGAAAACTTGAATGGTGAGTGGGTGGGAAGTCACATCAACTAGGAGTAGACAGGGGCTTGCCGCTGGGCTGCATCCCAGACCAAGCATGCTGCCTGAGCTCAGTGCCAGACACCAACTTTCAAACGGCACGTCTACCTTTACGCATCTCAAGACATGATGGAAAGCAGCCACTGCCAAGCCAAGCTGAGCTCTTCATAGGCCTGTTTGTCCCAAAGACCACTCAACCAATGCTTCTCCCTTCTGTCTGGCCTGGTCATATTTGTTTAAAAATTAAAGACATTGGGCTGGGAAGGTGGCTCAGTGGTAGAGCGCTTGCCTTGCATGCCTGAGGCCCTGGGTTCGATTCCTCAGCACCACGTAAGCAAAAAGAAAAAAGCCGGAAGTGGCGCTGTGGCTCAAGTGGTAGAGCGCTAGCCTTGAGCTGAAGAGCTGAGGAACAGCACCCAGGCCCAGAGTTCAGGCCCCACGACCGGACCCAAAAAAAAAAAAAAAAAATTAAAGACATTGCGTCTGGAAGGTTAACAGGTGATCCTGTTAACATCCATATCCTGAGGGCCTCTTTTGCTGGACAGGAGATTGTACCCCTCCTGAGGTTAGTATTCCAGGTCTTCTTTATTCCTGGCCTTCTTTCTCCCTGCAGGGCTCTGAGTACCAGGAGAGAGGGAAGGAACTCTGGGCCCTGCTCACTGCAGTGCTTTGGGAGCCCAGAACAGTGCCACCTAGAGGGGACACGCGGAAAAAAAATACTGGCGGGGAGAAACCCAGGGCAGAGAAGCAGAAGAGAGGGAGGGCGGGCCCTTAGACTCTCCTCCGAGGAGAGAGGGTGACAAGGAGGAGTGACCTGGGTGGCCTCAGCCTCAGTGCGCGGCAGAGGGCCCTTCCTGACTCGTGTGGATGTCCAGGTCCTCCCTGTGTGAGAAGCTGAAATGCCACCGACGTCTTTCTGTCTTTGCGTTGCCTGCCTGTTTGTTTCTGTCGGAAGCGGTGGGGGGCGCTCTCCCCGCTGCCTGGCTGCCGGGCAGGGTAGGCCAGGCCGGGAGGGGGAACGGAGCCAAGGCGTCTTGTTGGAAGGCAGCCCGTGTGCACAGCCGGCTGAGCGTGCACAGCCAGCTCCCCTTCATCTTCAGGTTTGGGGGACCCAGGTCTCAGCTACCTTGCCCCCAGGCTGGGGTGATTTTCGTGGTGTGTTTAATGTCCTTTGGTAGCGTTTCCCTCCAGACCCACCCTGGTAGCTGGAGAGGGGTTCGCTGACGGCCGGTCCTGGCCCTCTCTCCCCGCCCCCCTCCTCCTGGGGGTCCTCGCACTTGCCAGGTAAACCACACGACTGTCCTCATCAGAGTCCCACCCAGGGAAGCCAAGGCCTGTTCACAGCTGGCTCTTTATCAAAGTGCCCTGAGCATGGGTGGCAAAATACTTGTGAGCTGGTGCCCTGGGGATGCCTGGCATGTTGTGGGAACTCAGAAAACACCCAACTGGCCCACGGGACAGCCAGAGCCCCGGCCTAGGCCCCATAAATCAACGCAGGGACTCAGCCAAAGGAGCTCATAGTCCGCAGAGTTCCAAGACCATTAATTTCTGTCGATCTGCCTTCATCCAGGAGTGATTCCTGAAAACAACACCCGGAGTGCGGCACCAGCCTCTGGGAACGGCCCGTCTGCACGCAGACAAACACAGGTGACCTTCCTCCGTGATGAATGTGTGCTGAGGACATCCCGGTGCAGCGGGACACGACAGTGATGCTTGCCTTGATGGGAGATGAATTCTCCTTCACACCCTGTGTGTTTCTGTGCTTTACCTTTGCTAAAGGGTAGGATGCCAGAGTAGAAAGAATAATTGCGGTATTAACGGTACGCCGGCGTCTCCTGAACATTTGTTATGCACTAGCTCTGGGTGAAGCGCAGCCTTATTTAATCCCCACACAGACGCTCAGGAGGACACACAGCTGTGACCACATCCTCCACCCCCAACTTAGAGACAAGGCAATGGAGGCTTCTAGAAGGCCCTACAACTTGCCCAAGCTCTTACTATGTTCAGAAACTAGACAGAGCATCAGATCGGGCAATAATTTGTGGGGGTATGGTGTAAAATGAAAATGTGGGGGTCCCTTGTGCCACAATGGGAAAGCGTTTTGAGATGGTAACAAGTTTTAAACCAAGTTGGGGGTCCCTCTGAACTTGGGGTGTGGTGAGGTGCTCTGGGATGCGGGTTTGGAAAAAGGGGATGTGGGTGATGGCCAGGATCAAGATGTCCATGGTATGAGAGGTCTCAATAGATCCACTCATCTGATAGAGCGCCACACCGCTAGATCTGCAAGTAGGAAAGACCCTGTGCCCGGAATCCAGAGACAAGGACCTCAATTGTGCTCTCTCTACCAACTGGGCAATGAGGGCAAGTTCCCACACCCTGTTCAGGTGTAGTTTTACTATCCACAACATGGTGATTGTGGTGGCTGCCCCTCATGGTAGGAAAGCCCAGAGGAGGAAATGGTGTGGTACAATCTAAAGCTTCAGGGGTGCACGGTGGGAGCAGGGTTAATTCTGGTGACTGACTGCATCCCCAAGGTTTGTGCACCAGTGCAAAGTACCCCCGAGCAAAGGTCGATATCTCATGTTACATGTCCAACCCTCTACTCCAGTTGGGAACTGGAACACACCGAATTCTTTCCCAGGTGAATGTCTCTTCCAGTAAAACAGGCGCTGGACAATGTCGGCACCACACAGGACTCAGCCACAGACATGGTGCGTGATGGAAACAGGGTGTGTGTGTGTGTGTGTGTGGGGGGGGGGTAATGGTTACAGCTGGCCAGGGTTGTTGGAATAAGGAACAGGGTTTCAGCTGGGGAGGAGGCTAGACTTAAGTACGATGCCATCAGATTCCCACTGTCCCGTTCATGCCCTTGAGTCTGTCTTCCCTACAGCTCTCTTGCACAATGCTAATTAAGCGAACTGTTTTCCTCGAAGAGTTCTTCTGCAAAATGTTCCACGTTCATGACCCTCCTTCCCCAAATATGACCAATTCCATTTCAGTGCTCGCCGGACAGTTACAGGGTGCCAGAAAAGCAAACAATGAGTCAGGCCAAAGTCTGCGTTGCCAGCGGCAGGCTTTATGCATTTTAAGGGATAAGACCAATCCTATAGAGCTCTGAGTAGATTTATGTTTTCTGGAGCTGTGTCTACCCCTAACCGAGTAGCTTTGTGCTTTAAGAAATTCAAAGGCGTGAAGGAGTCTATTTTTCTCTGGAAGTATGACACGTGTGTGTGTGTGTGTGTGTGTGTGTGTATGTATGTAAAGCAATGAAATTGGAAACTCTTTTCTAAACTCCAAGGAGGGACCCAGTGGAAGGAAGACTGGGCCTCATCTAACCGCACACACATACACAGTGTGTAAAGACTTGTGCATGTGCCCGGCGCCTGGTGTGCTGTTGCTGTTTACACCGACAGTGCGTGCACGCTCCAGTCGCTCAAGCACAGAGCCAGAGGGCCACACAGGAAAGCAGGAGGTGCCCGCTCTGCTCCAACTCTGGATCCTTTGATAGCCTTGTTGTCCTTCATGACCTGTTCAACTGGCTTAAGTAGATTTCTGTAAACACCAAATCCTAGCTCCAGAGCCTCTCTCCCCGGAAGCCCCCTCCCTACCAAGAGGTACGGCGTGGCTGGCCAGCTCTGACGTGTTCGAGCGCGTCTTTGCGGCCCCGGCTCTACTTCTCCAGGCCTGTCTTCACTACTCCCCCCCATCACCTTCCCGCACAACACAGAAAATTCACCCTCCATTTGTGCCAGGTTCATTCCAAGCTGGGCAGGGAGAGGGTCCCCCTTCCTCCTGGACCTTAGGAAGGGCACAGAAACCCAGCTCTGGGAAACTGAAAAGAAATGTTAGACAGCTTGCATAGAATTATTCACCTGGCAGTCTGGGAAGGTTACCATGGCAACGCTTCCAGAGCCTCCTGTATCTACACACCACTGATGCTATCCCATCAATTCAGCAAAGAGGGATCACCGGCAAGGTGGGCCCTGGGCTTCCGTCTCCTTTCTGGTCTGCTGAATGACTCTTTTACTCATTTCTCAGGCACAATCAGACCCAGCCCTAGTGAGAAAATAATATGGTGTCTTTTCACTCAATTGTGTCTGAAAGCTTTGAATCAAAGTCTAATATAACTAGGATTTTTCTCCTTTGTTCTTCGCTTTCTTAAGCATTATACTCAGGGGCAGCTTCCGCTGCTGGCCCACGGAGGCTTTAATGAATGTATTCTGAGCCCAAATGGGAGCTCTAAATTTTCAAACCTTTCCTGACAAGTGAAACACGGAGGAAAGAGAGTGAAGAACTCTGCAGTACGCTGGAGTGGTCACCGTAACGGTAGCAACATGCACTTCCAGAGACGCAGAGACGCAGAGACAATGTCTACTTGTGTGTGCTGACTGAAGACCAATGCTTTCTCCACGAACATCTTCTCAGGGAAGGGGAAAAGGTGTGACCTGTCTCACCAAGATTGTTCTTAGGAAAAGGCAATTATAAAAAGAAATCACTGAGGAGTTTCTAGTTCTCGTCAACTCTGGGCTCTTAGGGGGAATGTGAGAGATTTACACGCATCTATCAAGAGAGTCTCAGAGATGAGGCTGTGGGTGCCCTGTGAGTATCAACCCCAGAGACCAGGGAAGACACTTTGGTAGACCCAGGTGTCCCCTGGCATGCAACAAGTGTCATCTTTCAGCGTTAGTGTCTATCCAGAAAAAAAGAAATTACACGTCCCCACGGAGGCAGCTAACAATTTGGAGCAACATCACAACATCAAGGATGCCACAGGTCACAGGGGACCACTTGGGCCTGACACCGACGGCAAGCCAGCCGGACATACCTGTGGGCGAGCCCTCCATGACGTGACCGATGTAAGGGCCTTCTCGGAAGACTGGTCTGTTGTCATTCTGATCGATTATGATGACTTCCAGGGGCACCGGGCCTTCGAGGGATTTGCCATTGACATCGATGGTCTCCACGAACAGCTATCCGGGCGAAGAGATGGGGGAGGGGAAGGAGAAGGAAGGCGTTAAATCACCACACACACTGAAATCAGGTTCCCCCAAGGCAGTAGGTTAGGTCAGCAATTTCATAAGCCCACTTTGCTTTCATAGGTTCGTCCCGGGGAGAAGAGAAACTCTGCATTCCAGAATCAGAGGCATAGATCAGCTCATGTGAGATTTCTCCCTTAGGACCGTTACAACTAATTCATCAAACCTGCAAAGTTAAAACAACAACAACAACAAAACAACCCACAAAAATCCCCCAGCCACAACTGAGAAAATGTGCTTACATTGCTTCTGTTTGTCCAACATCATGATCCTTTTAAAGGAATGCTACGCTAATAAAAATAATTGGCTACGCAGATATGAACTAAGCCCATTAACGGAGGACTGAGTGTTTAGTGTTGCTGAGAAGAAACCGGGGTCAGGAAGTATTTGTGGATGGCCTTTCACAGGCACTTTAGGAGTTTGGATGCAGCTCCATGATTCCCGCTTACATGGCCGTTGTTAATGAGCTATTTATTCATGGATTTCATGATCCCATGAAACCCTTCCAGAGAAATCTACTTTCAGACCTCAATGGAGGAGATAGCATTTAAAAAAGCAGCAGCAGCAGCAATAACAACAACAAAATGAAAACCCAGGCTGGGCAAGGTGGCTGATGCCTGTAATCCCAGCTAGTTTCAAGGCAGAGATTAGGAGGACAGAGGTCAGCCCAGGCGAAAAGCTACCAAGACCTCCATCTCCACCAAAAGGTTGAGTGTCCGCACCTGTGACCCCAGAGGTGTAAATAGGGTAAAGGAGAAAGGCCAGTCCTGGTCTCAAGGGCCAGATTCTACCCCAAAACCATAGAACTGCCTGGGCAAGAGGAAGGAGGTACTGTGTTTAATCCATTCTACCCCAAAACCATAGAACTGCCTGGGGAAGAGGAAGGAGGTACTGTGTTCAATCCTAAGCGCCACCAAAACATCAGAACAACCAAAAGAAAGACGGTACAACTAAAACCAAACGTGGGCTGTATGGTTTGTATGAGAAACAAAGCATTCTACCATGACCTGTTAAAAGGAAGCTCAGCCACCTCACGTCTGTGTGATAACTCAGAGACAGCCACGGCACCCCTGGGGGGCGAGGGCTGGGGAGGAGGGGGCAGGGTACCCCAGCCAGCCCAGGAGCGCACAGTGGAGCCCCAGGGCCAGGTCATAGCTGCGTGACCTTGAGCAAGATTCCCCGTCTCCCGGTTTTCTCATTCGTGAACTGGGGTGAATAAAAACACCCACCATGAGGAAGCCAATAACCAGTTAGCCAGCCAGTGTCCACTCAGGCATCCTGGCACATCACCCTTGCCCATGGGCCCTGATACAGGGGAGAGGGTGGACAGCAGAGATTCACCTTTGTGCAGCGGTGGAGTCTAGCGTGGAGCTGGGGAAGGTTGTTAACTGCCGAGAACCGGAGATCAGGAGTATCAGCCGCTGAGAACTGTGGTGCACACCATGGCCAGAATTAGCCTGAACTAGGAAAAGGAAGGCGCACACTCTTGAGGCAGAGAGCAATGCCTCCGGCCCTACCTGACCAATGGGACCGCAGTCCTGGAAATAGCATGTGAGAATTCATTGCTCGTGTGCTCTGCCCCACAGGCCAGCTCCCCGGTCCTCCTTGAGCTGCACTGCAGAGTCCAAGGTACCCGCTGCAGCGTGAAGTCTGGCAGCCATACTAAGTCAATGCCCAGCGTGAGGTGCTGGCAGGGGCGTGTTAGACTGTGGCCATTCCATAAACAGCCAAAGATCTTCGACCGATGAGTGAAGACATGCAAAATAGTATGCACGTCACTGGGCTGTTGATGTGATAAAACATTGGAGCCAGGCTATTTCTTTGTTTTTGTGCTTGGGCAGTAGTGAAGACTGAACTGGGGCCTCTGGCGGATGAGGCAGGGCTTCTACCCACTGAGCCACATCTCAGGACCCTTTGGCACTGGCTATTTCTGAGGAAGAGGCTTGCTTCGTGTCAAGGCTGGCCTGGGCTGCAGTGTTCTCATTCACCTTTTCTCAGGTCACTGTGGCCAACGGATGTGAACCACTGTTTCCAGCCAGTGTGCCTCCCCAAGATCTAAAGTAACGGGCACCTCCCCGTTGCACCCAGACCTCGGTTGAGATGGAGTCTGAGAAACTCCATTTTGTCTGGGCTGGCCTCCAACCGCAATCCTTATCTCTACCTCCCCCTAGCTAGCCTTACAGGCTTGAGCACTGGCCATGGCTCTGAGCAGAGAATGGACAGGAGGAGAGATTCACTTTGCCTCATGGTGTCAGTCACCGGGAAAGGTGGGGTGCAGCAGGCAAGAGGCCTCGGTCGGCTTCCGCCTCCTTCTCTTGTTCCATCAGAACCCCTAAGCTAATGGCATGGCACCCACATTCACGGCAGGCCTTCCCCCCTCAGTCCTCTTTGGAAACGCCCTCACAGACACGCAGAAGTGTGCTTTACCAACCCCTAGTCAAGCTGTCGATCAAACGAGCCACCTGCTTAGACACACACAGTGCACGAACACAGACTCTGCAGGACCTAAGCAAACTGAATCCAGGAGAGCGTGGAGAGAGGGACTGCCTTCCACGCCTTCTTTAACGTCACCCCATCCTTTCTTTTACTCGTACATTTTTGGACGCACATGTGCAAGCTTATTCACCCTCAATCACTCATGTGCACATCTATCTATCTATCTATCTATCTATCTATCTATCTATCTATCTATCTATCTATCTATCTATCTATCTAAAATCTATCATCTATCTAGCTAGCTATCTACCTATCATCTATCTATCTATCTATCATCTATCTATCATCTATCTATCTATACTTGATCTCTGAAGTAGATAAAAGAATGCAAGAATGTCTTATCTAAGAAAAAATTCCCAAGGCCAACCTCTTACTATCCATGCCCCAAGGAGATCTGACAGAGGAGGCACTTTTATTTTATTTTTTTAATGCTTTTTTTAAAACTAGCATAAAATGTTGCTTGCAAAGAAAAAAATCAATGAAATGACGCTTTGGGGGCTATGTCTTGAAATAACAAAAGCCTGGCTTTTTGTTCTCTCAAACAGCCCAGGATTTGACTTTAATTCAACCAAAAAAGCCTATGTCTAAAGATACCGACTATCTTGAGTTTGAATCTTAAGCTTCTCTATTCAAGATCTGTCCAGTATCATAAGCCACAGGTAGAACAGATAATCAAAATGCACATTTTCAAAATATATAGATACATTGAAACTGGGAAGGGCGGATTCCAGAAACTTCACGCCACAGAAAGACAGACAATGGGATAAAACTGCTCAGGGAAAAGGCAAAACATTGCAGTGAATCTCAGAAAACCAACCATATAAGCAGACAACTTGATGGTGTTTTATTTGGTAGGACTAGTCAGACTTTGGTTTTTAGATTTGTGTGTGTGTGTGTGTGTGTGTGTGTGTGTGTGTGTGTGTTAGTATTAGGGCTTGAACTCAGGTCCTGGGTGTTGTCTTTTAGCTTTTTCATTCAAGGCTAGAGCTCTATCACATGAGCCACAACTCCACTTCCAGTTTTGTTGGTGCTTAAGTGGAGACGAGTCTCAGGAACATTGCTGCCTAGATTGGCTTTGAATGGCAATTCTTAGATCTCAGCCTCCTGAGTAGCTAGGATTATAGGTGTGAGACAGTGACATCTAGCTCAGATGATGATTATTATATTCATTTTTACAGACAACAATACAAATAGAAACCAAAAATTTGGAATAGTTTCTGTAGGAGCAAAGTACTGGTTAATGGAAGGCTCCTCATTTTAAAGATAACCTCATCAGATTTCTTTGGACACCTCTTGGTTCAAAGACCCTATGCTGATCACCAGGCAGATGGTGAGGAGGAAAGCCAGATCGTGTCATGTGGACAGGTGGCGATGAGCAGAGGAAGATAACATAAACACACTCACTTCCGTGTCTGAGAAACAAGCTTCCGGTCCACTACTGAAGCCTCTAGACACATGTGGCTACAGAAATTGAGACCCAGCAAGAATGAAGAAATTTGGTTCTCCAATCAAAACAAGCTTGTCCCCTGTGCCCAGTGAACACACGTGGCTAGTGGGTACTGTGTTACACAACACGGATGGAGCTCATTTCCATTACTGCAGAGATCGAGTGGGAAAAGACCATATAGATGGCAAGTGCCAACGCCCTGGGGCAGAATAAACTTCGTGTTATTTTAGAGATGGGGAGTGGTGTCAGCGTCAGTCGAAGCATGAGGGCACGGCTCATCTCCAAATGGAGTTGTTTGGAGTTACAAGAATCTGAGCCCAGTGGGGAGGGAGGGCTTTCTTCCTGTGAACGGCTGGGAGGCAGACACGAGGAAGGGAAAGGGTGTCCTGCTAGTTCCCCACAGAGGGAAGGACAGTCGATTGAGTGGAGCAGCCAAGGGGAAGCCAGTGGTTTACTGAGCAGTCCATCTGGCCTCTTGAAGACATATTAAGACTGTGGCTGAAAATCGAGCACGTGGATACACATGGAGAAGTCAGTGAGCAGGGCCTTGGCCACCGATCCCAGGGAATTGTTCCTAGCTGCTCTCCGATGAAAGTCAGAACACACACAGAAAATGCCAGCTTTCTGATGCGAGGCTCTTACGCTCCAAAGGGGACATCTTCCTGGTCAGAAAACCAATGGACAATGATGCTCTCACCTTCCTTCTTGCTTCCTCATTGAAACCCCCCTCCCGCCCCCCAACATACACAAACCCGTGGTTTGCAAAGTCTGGAACAATGCTTGTCTCCTGTGAATCGCAGGATTGAGTCTCCTGCTTGTGTTTGAGGCTCAGAAACAAAGCAAGATGGGCGCACTCAGAGGGATGTATTCCAATGCCTCTTCTTCGTGTCTGTATCCAGAGGCTGCTTCGTAGGTGCCCACCGAGAGAGGAGAAACAGGCAGCCAGGGGCAGAGAGACATGGAGCACCTTCTCAAAGAGATGGGAGCCAGC